ATTCCTTCTTCATGGGTATTGGTACGAGATGTCCAGACGATCCGCATTTCATAACTTTCTACCTCCAGCGGGCTCCCTATTGCACAAAACCATCAATCCACACGTGTTTTGAAACAACAGTGCTGTTTTGAAACAGACGTTCACCCTGACCCGTACTAGCCCAATACACCAAGAGGTTTCTACCATACGGAAGAACACTGAACTCGTAAAGCATGAAACCATTCGGGCTTAGGGTTTAGGACTTTAGGGCTAGGGTTAAATGGATGGTTTCGGGCCAATAGGGGAGGATGTTCTTCTTGGTCGCATGGGTTTCCAAATGGGGGGGAGGTTTTATTGACCAGTTCAATGGATTAATGGTTTCATGGATCAATCATTAAACGGGTTGATGTCTTATTGGTTTAGGGGTGTATTGGTTTTCCCCGCATTGAAATGATGAGTTAAATGGTTTAATGGCTGTATGCTTGAATGGACTACTGGTTTGGTCCTTTTATGGTTTAATGGATTAATGGTTCAACGGTTCAACCATTCAGGCGTTTCCATGTGGGGCAAAACCATATGCTTGTTGGGTTCGTGGTTGAATGTGCTGACGGTTTAACGGGCCAACCCACGTTTGGAAGCATTACCGCGTTTTGAAACGCTTGGGCTTGGGTGAGTATCGAATCTTGGCACCGGTTAAGGGTATAGGGTTCAGGGCCAATGGTGTGAGCATCATTCCTCTTTGTAGTGCTGGCATCACTTCCTTGGCAGGCAAGACTGCTTGTAAGGTGGGGCAATGGTACCGTTTAGGGGGCAACTTAGGTGTACCCCCCCACCTGTGTTAGTGGTATGACAAGAATCTCCAAGAGGACCCTAATCGAATCACGACTGTCCCTTAGAGTCACTATTACTGGGTGGGGGATCCACCTAGGGGGTAATTGAGAATGGAACAGGAGGGGTTCATTATAAAGCAACATAAGAGGGATAATCTGGAGGTCTTCAATCCTAGAAGATGCTCTTTCAGGGTTCACGGTTTAGGGTTTAGGGGCCTGTTCAAGGGGAAGATTACATGTAAAAGGAATCAACTATGGCATGTTCAAAATGCTTCAGAGGCCATTTGGAGGTTTTCTAAGGTGTTGTGGGTCATTTAGAAGGAGTCGTGACGGATCAGGTATGTTTCACTTTTCTTGTATGTCCCTTGGAACAGAATATACACCAACAAAGAAACTAGGGGCGCCCTTGCTTTCATTCGGTCTCCCATGTGCTTTCTAAGTTTTTTTTATTGTTTCTATGCTCTATACGGCTGCTATGAACACATGTACATAGTTGTACATCTATATACATATATATAGCAGAATCCAAGGAGATCTAATTTGAATTAGAGATGTCGTGAATTTCCTAGGTTTATTATCACCAGAGGCCTGCTTCAAGAATTTAGTTGAACTTGTAGTGAGTTATGCAAGAATCAAAAGAAAATCGGAGTACAATGAGGGACTTCCTAAGCCGTGAAAGATAGAAGACGATGAGTACTTTCCGTAGTAGACACGAAATACACCCTCATCTAAATCTCTTAGTTTACATCCCCCCTAATGATATATATATATATACACACACAGTGGGGCCGGTTGTCATTAATTCGAGAAGGTGGGGGGGGGGTAGGGCTTAGGGACTCCTAGGGGAAGGGTTTGCGCGTTATAGACGTTGCATTTTTGCTGATGTGCTTACGGAACATTCTGAGTAAAACGAATATGACGCACGCTGTGAGAGCAATTTGCGTTTTTCGGTAATCAAGCTAAACTAAGCCTGCTAACATAGCACATTTGTAAAATTGTCAGAGTGCTAGGAACACAGAGGGTGTTGAACATGGGGGAGATATTGCTAGATTGCGTCTTGAAATTTCATTGAATATTTAGCAAATAGGAATATTTGGAATCTGAAGAATGCCCAGAAAACAATAAAAAAGATTGGGCATACCCAGAGGATTACGAATATCGAAGAATATTGGAGATAGTTATGAGAAAGATGAGGATACGAGAGCTCCTGCAAACATCATACGATACTGATATCTATTATCCTGAATACCACGAGCGTTGCGAGTTCGATACATATGTGGCCTGTCGTAAAATTGACGAGAAGAATTACGAGACATCTTGCAAGTATCGGGCATCTGAGAAATGTGAGGGGTATCATTACTTTTACAAAGAGCAAGATTTCCGATAATGTCACGTGTGTTCAAAGTTCAAGGAATTTGCAGCGAATTAAGCGTGTGGTGAACATGTGCGAGAAAGTGTGTACATACCGGTAGCACTTGGATCAACTAGGATAATGTAGAACTTGGAAAGTCTTAACACTTTCACAAGACCATTAATAGTGAATAGTGGCATTATTGACAATTTTCTGAATATCTGTACTAAAAAGGATTGGTCAGGGCATTCAAGTCATGGAACATATTCAAACTGTTTCTGGAACACTGAAAAGCTTACCAAAACTCAACAGGGATACAGTGCCATTACCGGTAATGCTGATTGTGCTTCTGAATCTTCTTCGTGTTATACCCGTGGAACCTGGCAATATCAATACATCCGGATGGGCTACAGGGATGAGTGGATAGGTTTATGATAACATGAACCTTCTACCTAAGGAAATTGTTTGAGTCTTAAGGAGTCTGCCTTGCAAGGCCGCGAAATGCAGGTGGGGAAGACTTTCTCGAATTTTCTTTCGCTGTCAAAATATGATGGGAATAATTGTTTGTAGAAGGTGGGGGTTTCAGTGTTACAGGGAAGGTTACTCCAACAGGAAATCATTGCGCCAGTGTGCTTCGGCAACATCGAGTTTGTCTATTGAAGGTATGTGCGTCAGGTTTACTGCTGTGCTGATTGCAGCGCATTGTTTCCTCAGCACGATGCTAATGATTCAGGGTTTAGTGTTTTGCTTCTTGAGTAGGTTTCATGACATTGGCGCCCCGGCCCCCGCGGTCGGCTTTGACCCCGCGATCAAACAAGAATATTGGACAATCTTACACGCATCATGCTGGTTGCCCCCATCACATTAATTCTGAAGCCTACAGTAGCGTCAGCAGTATGTACTTTGTGAAGACAGCCGGCCAGAATTTTGGGGTGCTTGCAGCATCAAGCAAGGCACCACACACCACACCAAGGACCCCTAATTCAGATCGAGCTGCGCGTGCGTCAAGGGTCAAATGTCTACAGCAACACGTGTGGGTCCCCTTCGAACCGCAGCAATTGTATGGGCTCTGGTTACATGTTGAGCTTTCTATGCGATCTGGTATATAAATGTTCTAGCAAAAGAGCTGTGGATCACGACCTTGCAGCAGCCTTCCGCAAAGGCCCACATAGCCATAAAGTCATAAAGTGGGCGCCTGGAGCCAAATGGCTTTCCTTACAGGCACTTCTGCGCACATGTGTGTGCTGTAGGTACTCAGACCTTGTGAGGTTGTTGTCTTGTGGGCTCAGAGAAGGGCCGCCCAAAGTTCAAAACCTTAGCGATCCTCGTTTCGCACCCAGGGAGCCCCATACATATCCCTCAATTAAGGAACATGCCTTAAACCATCATGTTACCAGCTCCCAATTTCATGTACGGTTTGTGCCTTCATTTCAGTGTACTGGCTCGCCATGCTTGCGTCCACGCCCTCGACAGACGAATGTATTGGCTTGCCAAACTTAAGGCCACACCCTCACAGACTGTGGAGTTACGCTTGGATGTTGTAGATTGGAGTTTGTCAACTACATTAGAATCCTGACTAGCAACCTCCAGAATTCTTTTGCAGTTGCCCCAGATTCGTCAAGCGCCAGTTTTGAGGCAGCCTTCACATCCCAACGCCGGACAGGTGCGCCTAGTTGGGAATGGGGGTGTGCGCAGCAGCCCCTCCATAACCTTCCTGATACAGCGACATAGCCCATTAAACAGCCAGAATTACTCCGAGGAGTTGAACACCCAAACTCAGGAAGCAACTGGATTCATTGCTTGCGGAAAATCACTGCCTGCGCGAAGAGCTCCAGGCCCGGATGGGCTTCTGGGGAGTTGTTGTGAGCGTTCTGAGGGTTTTGGCTTTGAGGTTTTGAAGGTTGAGGTTTCTTAGGCTTTGAGTCTTTTAGGTTTGGGGTCTTTGTTTTTGATCATCTTGTGGTGTAGGGGTTTGAGGTTGTGAGGGTTTTTGAGGGGAGGGTTTAGGGCTAGAATCACCAGATTGGGAGGACGTTCGGTGTTTAGGCCGTTCCCTAAGTAGCGTAAAACGCATTTTCAGTTCAGGGACTACCAAATTTGTAGCCCATGCAGAAGACTTTGTGAAACCATGTCGCAATGCTCGAATGCCTGAAGCTGATGCCACCTTATCCAAGACCTTCGTTGTATCGGTTGCCTTTTTACGCGTTACCTGCTCCATGGAGGAGTTGCCCAAACCTTAAACCCGAAACCCATGAGTCCCCAAGCTCATTCCTTCATCTTTTTACGAGCCAATCCGAGCCTTGAGTCCCCTTATAATATTATCATTAATAAATATTACTTTTATGAATGTCATTATTATCATTATCAGTGTCATTACTGTTATTACTATGAATATTACTGGTCTTATTAATGTTTCTACTAGTAATCTTCGTGGTGTTATCTTTATTAGCGTTTCTACTATTATTCTGAATTCTGGCATTCCTGATTTTGTTATTCTTTCTTATCCTATTATTGTTATATGAATAACATGGTAGCTTCCAATTTTCCTTTCGAGCCTGAGCATCCTTGTCCACACCTCGAGCCCTAAATACATTATCATTGTGAGGAGTGGCAGTAGCCCAGCCCACATAGCTTTGTGGGTGGGACTTCGATTTACATCTCAGGTTATTATTTCTATGATTATGAATATTTTGTAAGAACAGCAGAGAAGCCAGGCTGCAAATCGCGAGATTTTCTGCAGGCTTCACCGGAGTTCACTTGAAATCAAAGTTCATCAAGTCCCCAACGTCATCCCGGACCTTCTGAGCCTTTGCTGGAAGCCCCCAAGAAGTTTCTTGCAGGCATCCACGCGCTCCTGCACCAAAGACACAGTTGTCCCCGCTGATCTTGCGCCCGGGGAAGGGGGAGTGATGAAGCTGGGGGCTTTCCTGAGGGTTTAGGGTTTCAGGATGTGCGGTTTCCCCAGTTTAGGGTTCCAAGAGGCTTATCCATCCTGTAATAGTGGCTATAAGGGATAATAAGGAATATATTAGGGTCGTATTATATTCTTACTATACTTCTATTACAGGGTGGGGGGTCCTCCAAACATATCCATATCCAAGACAAGGCTTATTTCAGTTGACATTGCACCAGCCTTTGGAGATTCTGTGTCAGGGCTTGTGTTGCAGATCTAAACTCGTCGAATCCACCTCAATTGCCCTTAATAATACTAGTTCCTAAACAATCCCTATGTATATATATATATACCCCCCCTTAAGGAGTTTAAACCCTAAACCCTATATAACTCCCTTGAAGGAGTTTAGACTATAGCTCGTATGGGCTTTCATGTTCGTTCGTGGGGAGGCTACTGGCTGCTATGGCATTTTACTGGGTTGCTGGTAAGGAGTTTGAATTAAGTTACCATAATGCGTATATATCCATGTATATATATAGTGGTTTCACAATATAGTAACTTAAATGAAGTTCATAATGCGTATACATCCATATATATATATAGAGTGAAAAATAGGTTTCCCCTTTATAGTAACTTGAGTTAAGTTCCTTAACAGCAATTCAGTTTAGAGTGTTTTGCGGTTTTGGGTTCTCGCCCTTGGGCTTGGCAAAGTACGCTTTTACATGTCAACGCGTATAGTCCCCCTCAAGTAGATAGAATATGGCTTCGGGTACCATATTCTATCCACCTAAAGAGGACTATAGGTTTTATACAGTCCGAAGATAGGAGTCGGAGGTCGCCGTGGACGACCCTGAAGAGGTGCCAGACCTTGACTCACTACCGCCTGAAGTCAGAGCTGCTGCAATCGACCGAGCCATCAACGTCAAAGCCAAACTGATGGCCCAGACCCCCAAAGGGATCTAAAAATTAGATCCCCTAGAAGACTATGGGGAATTATGTAGGGATTATATAGCGGTTATTATGGCTGTTTATAGGGATGCAATTTTTAGATCCTCCCAGGGGTCTAGGGGAGGAGGGCATGTCTGAAGAAGAGATCCGGAAGGGTGCACATGAGCTGGCGCAAGAACTGCGTCAAGATATGAGATTTCATTACTCTGCCAGAATTCATCATGCAATGACTATATGTGGATTAGATATAGTGTGCACGAAGTGACATGCAGGCAACTTGTCTCCTGAGTAGCTAGGTTCGTTCTAAATCTTGAACGAGTAATTTGTTTTGCCCCTTGCTTTTGAAGCTACTCCGGCTGCCTAGGGTCAAACCATTTCATATCATGCTTCCCCCAGGTAAGTGCAGCATGGTCCCTAAGGCATGTACAGGTGCCCAGCCCAAATGTAGAAACTTGAAAATGTGTGTGTGTAGAAACTCCTTGGGACTTAGCTTGGACCTTAGACCCTTGACCTTTTGGGATGCCCTTGTGTTCCTATTATAGGTACCTAAGGGTTAACCCTTAGTAGGGGTCCTAAGTGCCACGTAAGGAAAATAGGGAGGGGCTACAATGGTTTTTGGCTAGGGTCCAAGGTCTAGGATTCATGAGGCTATACCCCAGTAATGGAGAATCACATGGACAAGACATGGAACAGGAAAATGTGGTTATATAGAGGTTTTCGGGGAGAAGTAGCAATGTCATGGTCATAGATCTGTTGTGAAAGCACAGAATAGGCTACCTCAGACAGACTTCAGAATCATAAGAATAATTCTCCAGGCATCATTTGTAGAATCCAAAAAACACGTCGTTGTAAACACACTTTCCGTTTATTTGCCCAGTCGCTTTTCCACTTGCTCGCCATTATTCCCGCAACCCTGAACCCTAATCTAAAACTCAGTAACAGCCAAGCCTAACATCCTAACTTCAGCACCAACCCAGCGCATAGCCTCCAACTTAAACTTCAACCCTAGCCCTGAAACCACAACTTCATTGAGTTTAGGGTTCAGGGTTTAGAGTCTAGGGCCAGGCTCCATGTCCCAATGCAACTCTCAAACCAAACGAATGACTAATTGCATGGCCCTACGGCTCCATGTCGGTAAATAATACCTACATTGGGCCCCAAAGTCTATAAATATACCCTGAACCCTAAACCCTAAACCCTATAACCTACATTGGGCTATTTGGAACCTTCGGGTGGGGCATGGGAGTTTAGGGGTTTAGGGTTTTCGCAAGTCATGGTACTGTGCAACCAAAGCTTGCAATGAGCCTAGGGAAGAGCATACGGGGCGACGGGTTTTTCGAGGCATGATCTACTCTGAGGGTTGAGGGTTTAGGGTTGTCCAGAAGCAAATTGTGAGTTTTGCTGGTTATAAACCCCCAATGAACAGCTCTTACATGTGTTGGGAGGGTTCCAGGGCAGATATGGCACCCTTACTGGTGCTTAGTAGGGAATAAGGGAATATGATCCCATATACTCCCTACATAACATGTCTCCTTCTTCCCGACTAACCCCCAGTAAGTGCCTGGACCCCAAAAGTAGGTAAAATAATAGCCCAAAACCCCTAATAATAGCTATAAAGGCCATTATTTTACATACTTTTTGGGGTCCCCTAAACCCTAAACCCTCCCTTCTTGGGGTGCTGGTAGGTGCTTCCGCTGGCCGAGAGTGTCACTCAGGCTGGAGAGTTGGACTTACCTAAGCCCCAAATTTAGGGTTTAGGGGTTTAGGGGTTTAGGGTTCAGGGGTTTAGGGTTTCGGGGTTTAGGGTTTCGGGGTTTAGGGTTTCGGGGTTTAGGGGTTTCGGGGTTTAGGGTTTCGGGGTTTAGGGGTTAGGGTTTAGGGGTTTAGGGTTTAGGGTAAAGTATGTAAAATCATAGCCTTTAGGGCTCTTATTCTGGGTGTAGGGCCAGTATTTTACATACTTTTAGGGTTTAGGTAACCCCTAGACCCGGAAACGCTTAAGCCCTGGACCGTAAACCCTGAACCCCAAACCCCTTCAGCCCTGAATCCTAAACTCTGAACCCTAAACCCCTTAAGCCCTAAACCCTACCCCCGAAACCCTAAACCCTTAACCGCGTCCCAAAAAAGGGGAACTGCGGGACGTACGGGGCTTATAGGCGGATTATGGTTTAGAGTTTAGGGTTTAGGGTGGAGGATTCGTTAGGATTTGTTGAAACAGGGGAACAGGGGTAGTTTTTTAGAGATTACAAGAGGGTTAGCAGGTTTCCCTCTCGGGATTCTCTGGGGATGGTGCATGTTCTTAAGGAAATTCTATAGGATTTCTGTGGTTTAGGGTTTAGGGTTTAGGGTGCTCCGATGTCTGAGCCCCACGAGGCTTTTGAGCCAGTGATTGGGATCCCGTAGTTGTTTTTTTGGGTCAGCCATGGGATTTCTTTCATGACAATCGATTTTTCAGGGCTATATATGAGCCAGAGTCTAAACTCCTTAAAGGGGGCCTATATAAGGAGTTATATAGGGACTAGTGTAGGGGTTACTAAGGGGGATACTAGGAGTCTAGATCATGTCTCATACATTGGGGTAGCGGAAAGGAGAATAGAGACTACTAGTTAGGGTTTGGAGTTTGGGGTTTAGGGTTGAGCTATTGTCAGTATTAGGGTTCCTAAGGGATAGATATGGATGAGCCCTTCTAGTAGATCAGTCTTGTAACTAGTATATTTCCCATTGAGGACCCATGTGCGTCAATTACTCGTATGGGCAATACGGTAGTTTATATGGGGTAGGATTTCTTCACATGGGTCTTTGACAAGTGTATAGGGTTCCTTAGGAATATTGGTGAGTGTATGTAACTGCAATCCTACCATACATGAGCACAAAGATTAGCACGGACTGAGCTTTGGGGGCTACAAATGAAAGTCAATGGTTGTAGGGTTCTGGTTGAGACCAAAGGCGTCGGTTTTAGGTTGGTTCCTGCTCGTTGCGGATGTGCACAAGGTTTTTTGATAGACATCCGGCAAAGGGACGTTGACGTTGATGGTGATTAGAGCAGTCAAGCGTCCACGGTTGTAGGCCCTAAACCCTAAACCCTAGACCCTAAAGGGGCTTGACGCATGTTTCACACTGGCCCTTGCAGTTTCTGTATTCTTTACTGTAGAAACGCCGTCAAGCCTCCATTCTGCCGATGGAGTGAGCACCTTCTTCCTTCTCGGGTTTAGGGCTTAGGGTTGGAGGGCTTCATGATTGAAGGTTTTGGAGTCGAAGGGGGTTTAGGGTCTAAGGGGGCTAAGGGTTTAGAGTTATGATTTAGATCGATTATAGGATTTAGGGTTTAGCGCTTTGGGTTTAAGGCCACTTAATTATGAATCTTCCCTCTAAAATACGATGACACCATATGGAGATGAGATTATGTTTCTCTGGGTGGTGGGAAGGGGGTTAGAAGCCCTAACCCCTAAATTCGAAACCATGAACCCGAGGAGCTAACCCTGGAAGATCTAAGGTCTTGCCCCAAGTCAGCATGTAAGCTTGAACCTAAAACCCGTCTATGTGGGTTGCCAAACGAGCCAGTGGTCCCCCTTCTGCCGGCTCCTATACCAATCAAGCGGTACATGTTGTTTTAGGTTTATACTGGAACCCCCTACACCCTAGCTTCGGAAACTGCCCATGTCGTATCACATCCGAGCACTAAGCGGAACTCCCGTCACGCTGGGGGTCCAGGCGATAAGCTCCCGCAAGCAATCCTTTAGGGCTTAGGGTTTAGGGTCTTACGAGATCTTCTTTAGCAGGACCTTACCTGGGTCGTTGTTGAATATTCGTGTGTAAATTTGTGTGGTACTAGAGCCCTAAAGGTTTTAGGACCTCAGGGTTCCAGGACCCAAATAATAGGGTTTTAGGGCCCAAATACGATGATATTAATGGTATTTGGGCCCTAAAGCCCCATTATTTGGATCCCTGCACCCTTACAGAAGCACAGTAACGCTGCATCAGGCGGTAGATGCCGAACAGCCTCAAAGTGAGGAGGACGCTTCTGGCATTAGGATTTGAGACTTAGGGTTGAGGTTTCGGGATTTAGGCGTCAGGGTTTAGTAACTGAGGATTTAGGGTTGGAAGATTCCTCAAATTCCTGTTGGTTCCTCAGTTCTCAGAAATGAAAGGGATCCAGCAGCAGACTATGCCAGAAGCTCGGCACAGAAAGCCCCAAAACCATGCCCAAATCCAAAGCTTTGCCAAACCCTCAGAAGGCATGCATGGAGGGTCAGAGGACACGTAGTAAGTATACTCATAAGACCTACAAGCTTGAAAATCACCCCCCCAACTATCCGTAATGTTATTTTACTTACGAAGTCTCATGCCCGCTTTTCGTGCCAGCGCCAGGAGCCCTGGGAACGCCTTCCCAAAACCCTCTACGCCAGAATGCCAAGAAGAGCCTGAGTCTTTCAGGGCTTACGGTTTAAGGTTAAGTTAAGGGTGTAGACTACAGGGAACCGAAATCTGTCAGTTCTTAATTGAAAGCCGAAGTCGCACAACCAACCCGCATCACCACGGCACACTCAATCGTAAACTCAGGCCGAGAAACCCCAAAGCCCTAAACCCCAACAGAGTGAGGGTTTAGGGTTTAGGGCTTGGGGTTGAGGGCTTAGGGGCCTACATTCCTAAACGCCGAAATCCTAAACCCCCAAACCACCAAAACCCTAAGTCCTGGAAACGGCAAGGACTAGCACACTTTGATAAAGACAGCACCCTTAAATCTACAAGCCCTAGAAACCAACCGTCCAAATCCACAAGCCTTTAAAAAGGCAAGCCTTGAACCACCCGACAATTGGAATTTTTGAGCACAGAAAAATGCTGTAATGCACCTGAAGCAAAACCTGAACTTACCTTTAAGACAGACCCCTCCAAGCCCCAAACCCTCAACCCAGGGTAACCAAACTCCTTCCCTACCCACCCCAAACCCTAAAGCCCCAACCAACCCACAGCCTAAACCTCACCCCAACCTTCAAGTCCCAAACCCCATGCAAGCCCTAAACCCCAACCCCCAATCCCGCGGTCAAACAAAAGACAACAACCTGTTTCTCGAACTGAGCCTCAAACCCTAAGCCCCACCTACACCCCAAAGTATGTAAGATGAAAGCCTTGAACACCGAAAAACAGCCCAAAAGACAATTATTTTACATACTTATGGGGTTCAGGTATTCCTTGGCCCAAACCCTAAACCCTAATCCCCCAAACCTCCCCAACCCCCCAAACTCCCCAGAGAGCCAGGAGGCCGGGGACCCGCTTCCGAACCCCAGCGTCGAGCCGCAAAGGCCTTGGCCGCTGCGCACGGTGCGGAAGGCTTTCACCGCAAGTGTTTAGGGTTTGGGTTTGGGGGTTTAGGGTTTAAGAGGTCAAGGTTGGAGGTGGAAGGGAGTGATACTAAAGACGTATAGTCCCCTTAAGTAGATAGAAGATGGGGTATATGGGGATCTTATTATAAAATACCTAAAGCCATGTTCTATCTACTTAAGGTGGAGTATATACCCAGCTTGTCATAGATCTGAGCACCTGGGCACAAGCAGGTGGAGCAATGTACCGCCGAGCTAAGACGACAAGGGTTGAAGAGTGCATGCTGAGAAGTGCAATAATTCTCAAGGTCAGGCTTCTGCATGGAAGACGGCAATTCTAGGCTGTCATTGACAGCAACCCCAACGAGGTGGAGAAACTCGCAATTCGTGCTTTTAAAAACGAATATCCTTTGTTTGGGGCCGTGTCCAGCAGCCGCCTTGCAGTAAAAAGTCCAAGCCGCGCGCACTGGCGTCGCTGAGCTCTTCGCACACAGGTCGCAGCCTAAGGGACTGGAGCTCCGTCGGCACCTGTTTCACCCTAAACCTTAAACAGAAAAGCCCAAACCTTCATACCTAAACCCTACCACCTAAATCCTAACTTGTCAACCCTTAGCTGCTAACCCGAAGCCCTAAACTCCAAACCCTGAATCCCCCAAACCCTAAACCCCAAACCGCAAATCCTAAACCCTGAATCCTAAATCCCTAACCTGAAAACCCAAATCCCAAACTCCTAAGCCTAAACCCTAACCCCGAAGCCCCTAAACCCTAATCAATCCTAAGCCTCTTTACAGCCAGGCCGTGGCGCCACTGCGCTCAGCACCTGCCAAGGCAAAGCTTGTCCGACTTCAGATCCGACGCCCCGCAGATTTCATTTCGGGTTTATGGTCAGGATTTAGGGTTTAGGGTTTAGGGTTTCAGGGTTTAGGGATCTAAGGGATTTAGGGTTCAGGGTTTAGGGATTCAGGATTTAGGGTTTAGGGTTTAGGGAAGAAGGTTTGGGGCGTTAGGGCTTGGGGATTACAAGCTAGGGTTGGGGCGTTCGGGGATCGGGGTTCAGAGGTTGTTTGATGGGAGTAGGTAGGGTTTGTATGCATGAGGTTTGACAGGGGTTATAGGAATACGTACCACGTCCCGCTGACCCTCAAAGTATCTTGCGCGTTCTCCCCGCCCCGACGGACCCCGAAATGGTGGACGACAGCTACTTCAATGTCTGTGGAAGCCAGTGATTAGTGATTTAGTGGGGTGCTCTGTGCATTCTGTTGGTATCAGTTTGAGATCCATATTGCTTTAAAAAAGCCTCTAAGCCCAAAGCTCTCCTGCATCCTACGCCCTAAACGACTGCACCCCAAATGGTATTTTATACCAGGAATATAATCTGACTGGGTTCAACCACCAAAAAACGCTACTCAAGTAAGGTTTCATGCCTTCGGCTGCCTCATCCGTGAGCGGCCGCCCTGTACATAAAACTGAGGCCCGCCAACGCAAGGGATTCAGGGTTTAGGGGCTTAGGGGTTGAGGGCTAGGGGTAAGGGTTTAGGGATTCATAGCAGAGGTTTAAATCTAGGATTCGTGTCCTGGGTTTTGAGCGGGGTTTTGCTTTTTGCCCGTATACAACTTCTATTTATTCTTCGCCTGCGGGTTCAGGTTTTAGGGGTTTATGGTCTTGGGCCCAGGGTGGCGAAACTTACATTAAGAGGACTTTGGTAAGGTCAGCTTGAAAATTTAGGACCATATTTGAATCCTCTGATAGGTCGAGGTTTCTAATTTAGGGGTCGTGGCAAGCAAGCGTTTCTTGTTAGTTTCGGGGTTCAAGGATTGAGGGATGTGGAGGTTGCTCCAAGACTTTGAGATGAAGGGGTGGCAGGCTCGGAGTTCAAGGATTTGGTGCTTGGAGGCCTTTGGTTCGAACATTTGGGGGGTTTAGGGGTCAGGGGTTTACCGTTCAAGGATTTAGGGGGTTTCAGGGGTTGGCCCTCTTTGCCTTCTAGCATATTCGGGGGCTTAAGGGGTTGGAGGTTTAGGCTTCTAAGATTTAAGGGGGGTTGGGTTAAGGTGTCAAACCTAAGCCTTAAACCCTTGAATTTAACCTGCCAAGGACTTAGGGTCTGGTGGTGGAGGCTCAGAGTGTCAAGGCGCGTTGATGCTTTGATGCTGGAGGAGGCGGGCGCTGAAATTCTTTGTCGGGAAGCCAAGCCCCAAACCATAAACCCATGGCGCTGACTCTCCTTGGGAGTTCTCCGGTTCCCAGTAGGAACGGAAACGAAAATGGAAACTACTATGATGGGTTATGTAGGGTTTAGGGTTCGCCAGGAATGGGCAAGAACATGGAAACTGCTATAATGGGTTTTACAGGGTTTAGGATTTAGGGTTTAGAAGGAATGGAAAAGAGACTAGAAACGACTATCAAGGGTTATATACGGTTTAGGGACTAGGGTTTAGAAGGCATGGAAAAGAAAACGGCAGGTATTATAATGGGTTTTCGCATGATTTGGGTGGGTGACCGATTGCGGAGGGCACCCACGATGCTGTCAGCAAGCAAAATGTGCACTAACACCTTTGGGTCTGCCCTTGAGGCCTATGCTTTCGCTGCCGCCAACGAAATTGGACTGAATGTTGGGTTTAGGGTTTAGGGTCCCTAAACCCTAAACCCTAAACCCTTAACCGGTTTTCGCTGTCCAGTGCCTCGCATGGCTGAGGTAACTTCCGATCGCTTCACCCTGAACTCACTTCAAGACTCAGTTGAGTAGTGGGGCTAGTATGGTCCAGAGCAGAGAATAAGGTCATATCCTCCTTTCAGTTATAGTACTTAGGGTTTAAGATTTAGGGATGAGGGTTTAGGGTTTAGGGCTCATGAGAAGCCCTGAGCCCGAGACCCTAAGCTCTACACGCTGACACAATATATACCAGGTTCATGCAAAGCATGCAGTTTAGGGTTTTACGTATATACCAGCTTCACATACAACATATTGCTCAGCTATCCAGTCTAAGGAATTTGAATTAAGTTCCTAGAACACTATAACAAGGAGACCCTATTGTTAATCATATACTCATATTGTGATAGCTTTATTCAAGTTCCTTAACAGCCCTAGATCCTAAAATTTAAGCCCTAAACACTAAACCCTAAATCCTAAACCCTAAATCCTCAACCCTAGAGCCTAAACCCCAATCCTAAACCCTAAACCCTAAATCCTAAGCCCTAAATCCGAAACCCTACCTTGACCGTTACATTCCTCAACAGCACCCAAGCAGTTGCAGGTGTCTGTGCACACAGCGGCTGCGCCCACCGAGGTGCTTCGTGTCCTCCTCAGCCAGGCCATGATGCAGCTTAGGGTTCAGGGTTCAGGGTTTAGGGTTCAGGATTTAGGATTTAGTGTTCAGGGTTTAGGGTTCAGCATCTCAAGTCAAGCGTTCATTCGCGAGCAGTTGTCTTAAGTCATAGAAAGATACCCACCCGCCCATTGGGTCGCACAACGCTGAAAAATCATCACCTTCAGCATTTCAACTCATTTCAACTCGTACCACCCGCGCCCTTGCACCACACGCTTTAGTCTGTATCACCTTAAAGCCGGAACATTGAGGCGAACCCTCAGAGAGGCGAACCCAAAAAGGCCCAAGGTGCTAGGCATTGCCGACGAAGGACATTAAATTTGAAATTGTATTAGGAAAGGAAGGTTCAGGGCTTAGGGTTCACGGTTCAGGATTTAGGGTTCAGGGTTTAGGGTTTCAGTTCGTTTTCTGGCGACTTACTGAGATTTTTTGGGTTTTTGCTTATTCAACCTGCAATGAACGGGTGATTTTTGTCGGTGGTCCTTGACCAGATCTAGATTCGTCCTGTCAGTGCTACGACAATGCCTACTGCAATTGACAATTTCGGGGTTTCCTAGAAATAGGGGTACCATTCAAGGGTTCCCATGCTGAGGATTATAGTATGTTGGGGTCTATACTGGGGTCTCCCTATTTACGGAAACTACCCTTTCTTTTTAATCGTATTCGCATTCTGCTAGTCTATGGCTTACACTTGCCATTGTTGTTGTCCTTATTGTTGTGAGTTGAAATTTCAGCGTTTGCAGCGTCCGTATTTGCGTCTATATTCGGGTTTGCGGCTATAGTGCAGTCCCCTGTTTGCGGCCAAATATTGAAACTACACATTTGCTCTCGAGACTAGAAACAGCACAAGTAGCGCAACTACCGTGAATAGTTTGAATACAATACCTGGACCGTGGATGTCCTACCTTTTTTGGTGTATACCCTACAAATTTATGGGACATACCACCAAAAAAGGAAGGACATCATGGGTCCAGGTACAATAACTTGGGCTGTCCTGAACTGAGCGCTAGCTTATTGTAGTAGTTATCGGCCTTAGGGTTTAGGATTTGCTCATTTCCTTGAACGTATTTTTGGAGGGGTTTTAGCAGATTTTGAGAACTACCTCAAAATACCACAGACCCGTCATGGCTACCTTCAGCTTCTGCTGCAGCTGTAGTTCGATGATATTGTTGACTACCAGTATGGGCCTGCAAAAGGGTTCAGGGTTTAGGGTCTAATTTGCTGTCAGCAGGGAATGAGACAGGGACAAGAAACTGCAAACAACTGTAATACTTGTGACAATGTAGACCCCGCCCCAATATACTAGAAACCTTATTATCGGGATCCCCGAAAACGGCACCCCTGATTTTGGGAAACTCCCATAATATTTCCCTAAGCCCTACAGGGCCCCAAAGCTCTCTAAACCATAAGGCCTAAGCCACAGACCCTCAACTCCAGAGTCAAGACCCGAAACCGCAGGCCCTCAACTCCCAAACATCCTAAGCTGAAAGCCCTGAACCCTGACCCCTTCTGGACCCCAAAGTAGGTAATGTAATAGCCCAAAACATTTCAAAGTAGCCAGAAAGGCCATTATTCTACATACTTTGGGGTTCAGGTAGGTAGTAAACCCTATGCCGTGTGCGGATCCCTTGCTGAACAGGGTCTCGCCTGGCCAGCGTCCCTTGCACCTGCGGGTGAGGTGCGTGTGAGAAGTTGTTGGGACTTTAGGGTTTAGAACTCAGGGTTTTGAGATGTACAGTTTTTGGTTTAGGATTAAGGGTTGCTCTCTTCGTGGATGGGCTTCCTCAAAAGTCCGGCCCTTTCATGCAGGTCTGTATCATGGGGAGTACATGAAATTGGAGGGAGTCGCAGAACTTTGTTTTGGACATGCATGTAGGCCTTGGCTTTGGGGGCTTCATAGTTTGTCTGCGAACGTCTCCCCACGTTGTAAGGTTGGAGTCGGACAAGTATTATTATTCTTGCCCAGGCGTTGAGATCCCCCACCCCCCAAGTACGAAGCTAGACCCTGCTACCCTCCAAAAATTCAGATCCTCTTCCTTTAGCACCCTATACAAATCCTAACGGCCAAGCCCTAGACAAAGCTTATATGAGCTACTGGCAATATTAGGCTTACTGAGGGCCCCTTTACAGTGAACATAGGATTCCTCTAGTAATAAATAAGTTCTGACATAGTTCCGAATAAGGAATCCATGTTCCAGAACACCTTAAACTCCAAATCTTCCAAATCCTAAACCCCTAAACTCTAAACACTCAAGCCCATGCAAGCTTACCATTACTTTGCCTAACCTCAAAATTACAAATCTTCAACCTCAACATGAACCCCCCACATCCTAAGTGCTGGCAAGAAACATTAAATCCTGAACCCTAAACCCTTACACCCCTAAACCAGTAAACCCTTACCCCCTAAACCCTTAAACCCTACACCCTTAACCCCTAAACCCCTAAACCCTTAACCCCTAACCCCCTAAACCCCTAAACCCTTAAACCCTCTAACCCCTAAACCCCTACCCTAAGCCCCTAAACCCCTAACCCCTAAACCCCTGACCCCCCTTAAACCCCTAACCACCTAAGCCCTAAACCCCCTAACCCCCTAAACCCCTGACCCCCTTAAACCCCTAAACCCCTAAACCCCTTAAAAACCCCTTAAAATCCCCTTAAAACCCTGTGGAGGATCACGGCCTTCCGGGCCATCTTCTCCTCCATGGCCTGGCTCCCAAGCCCTAAACCCTAAACCCTAAACCTGGTTCTCCACTTGGATTTAGGGATTCAGGGATTTAGGATGTCCTGATTTAGGGTTTAAGGTTTAGAATTCAAGGGTTTAGGGATTTAGGGATTTAGGGATTCAGGGGTTTAGGGTTTAGGATTCAGGGATTTAGGGGTTTGGGGGTTCGGGTTTAAGGTTTAGAATTCAGGGGCTTAGGGTTTAGGGTTGAAGGTATGAGGTTCAGGACATAGGGGTTTAGGATTCAGGGTCTAGAGTTCAGGGCTTAAGGTTAAGGGTGGAAGGTGATAATCCTTTGGCTAGGCTATAGGGGTAGGTAAGGTTTCTGAGGGGGGTATGCAGGTTTGAGGTTTAGGCATTCGGGCTTAGGACTTAATGTTTCTCCAAGAAATGGGAATGAGTTTAGGGTTTAGGGTCATTGGGGTAGTTCTCAAAATTTAGGGTCCCATTTTGGTACAATATTAGGTGCCGTAATAGCATCTGTAATCAAAAGGTGCAGATTAATTTTGAGAACAGCCCATGTGGAATCCTAAGCCCTAAACCCTGAACCCTATACTGCATTGGCTTTGCTCTGGCTCCAGGCGTTGCGGGTCCCTAAACCCTGAACCCTAAACCCTAAACCCTGAACCCCAAACTCTGAACTCTATACCCTAATAGGGTTTAGGGTTCAGGGTTTAGGGTTTAGGGTTCAGGGGTTAGGGTTTAGGGTATGCTTTGGTCTGCCAGATGAGCGTAGCAGCAGGCAATTGCTTGCAAAGGACTTGTCGAGGTCTCGAACTATCCTGTCTGTGGCTTCAGCGTTCCGAACAGCTTCGAAATTCAGTGGGTCGCGGTGGAACATTGTCGTTGGTGATAAGAAGCTGACTCGGCGTCCTGCAAGAAAATCAGCCAGAAGACCCTGAACACATGGACTGACTTTTGGTCTTGCGTGGGACTAATCCGGACCCTTCGTCAAACTCGAGGGCTCTCCGGTCAGCTTGTGAAGGGCTCTCATCTGGCTGCTGCCAGGTGAATTTCTGGACACCGTAAGGGTGGGGGTCACACCAGTCCGAGTCAGCAGACTTACGCAGAACTTTACAATCCTGAAGTGTGAATCCAAACACCAGAGCTGATCATTGGGGGCTTGGGGGTGGAGGTTGGGGGGCTTAGGGTGCAAGAGTTGGGGATGCCAGATCTAGGGTTTAGGGTGTAGGGTGTGCAGGGATTCAAGGGCTCGCTTGCGCCCTAAGCCTGAAACTCTGGGGCCCTCAGTCCTAAACGCTAGACCCTAAACCCTAAGCCCAGGGCCGAGGCTTGACCTTGCCAACGGAGGAACTCCTGCAGTCTTGCTTTGGGTTTGGGGTGTGGAGTCTTTTTCGTGCTTAGGGTTTAAGGCTTAGGGTTTAGAGTTTAGGTTTAGAGTTTAGGGTTTAGAGTTTAGGGGCCAGGGTTTCAAGCTTAGGCTTAGGGTTTAGGTTTGGATTAGACTTGGGTTGTGGTAAGTGTAGTAGTTTTTGTTGGGGAAGTGCTTGAACATTGAGTACTTGGACCCTGAAAATTAGGGTGTGGAGTGCAGAGGATGATGCAAGACTGCGCCAACTGACGTTCTGCTCGGTAGGGCCTAGGGCTTAGGGTTCAAGCTCGCAACAAGTTTTCCAGATCAAGGATGGACAATGACATGGAAACTACATTATACATATATACAGAGCAGCTATATATAGGATTACATACGAGAACGTGTGGTAAAAAGCTTCAGAGCATTTCGGACTTGAGGCATATGAACTGTAGTCTAAACTCCTTCAAGGGGGCTCTATGCTAGTAGATTATCTAGGGGAGTGTTACAGGGGTTAGTAAGGGGGATGCTAGGAGTGTAGACGCTGAACCCTAAACCCCCAACCCTACAGTAGGTGTTGTAGGGGATACTAGGACTTTAGAGTATAAGCCATATGATAGGGTCACGGCAGCGGCCCAGAGCCCGCAGTTCTCACCGGAAGCACCACGCAAGAAGAGCTAAAACTTGAACCCTAAGCCTAAGGGTCCAAGGACCCAAACAGTAGGGGATTAGGGCCCAAATGCTATAATATTAATGGTATTTGGGCCCTGAAACCCTGTTATTTCGGTCCTTGGACCCTTAGGGTAACGGTAAGCGCTCACAATCTTCAGCTCCCCTTCCTTCCGCTGGCCCCTTCTGCCACCAACTCAAATGAGTAGTATTTTATTTGGGGGTACTATGGTACCCAATATAGAGTAAGATTATATCCTCCTTTTGGGTATAGTAGTTTACATAAGGAATATCACCTTACTAGGTTCAACCACCAAAAGAAACCTACTCCAATCTTGAAAGACTTGCCACACTTATCGCAAGCGCGTTGCCAACATCAGGCAAACTCCTGGATGACAGTCGTCCGCTGGTGGAGCAGGGCGTGCAGGAGCCAACAGAAAATTGAGAGTCAGAACATCAGAACTTGGACGAGTTGTTTTGTATCCTCGATCTTTGCTAGCGATGGGTCTGTTCTGGCCGATCTACAATGACTTTTGTTACAAGGACGCAGGACAAGGGACCTGTGCTTTTGGAACTCTACCTTCTAAGGTGCAGTTGTTTCGAAGTCCTCCTTGGAAATCCTAAGCCCTGAACCCTAAACCCTAAACCCTAATAACCCTAAAAGCCCTAAACCCTACACCCTAAGCCCTAAACCCTGCTACCATCCTTCTGCTGAGATAGACCTTGCTTCAACGAGCAGGTGTGAGGGCTCAAGACGGCTAAGCTGAGTTGCTGTTACACAGTGTAGGGTTTAGGGTTTAGTGTCTAGGGTTTAGGGTTTACTAGGCGGTGCCATAGTTAAGAAGTATTGCCCCCTTTTGTCGTATAAGGGAACCTATCTATTGATTAATTTTCGGGCCTTCACAATACTGTTGATAACAACAAGTCCTGCATGACCTTAGTACGCCATAGTACCTTAATTCCCAAGGTATAAGCTACTTGAGGTCATGCAGGATTTTTAGTATCCACCCGTAACCCCTAAACCTTAGCCCCTTTGAAGGTACTTAAGGTCGTGCAGGATTTTTGGTATCCACCGTGCCACCCTGAACCCTAAACCCTAAACCCCAAGGTTAGGCTCTAGCTGATTCAGCATCCCATCCTGTATCTTGAAGGAGGAGCTCGGGACCTGACCCCGAACAACTCAAGGTGTAGGGTTTAGGGTTTAGGGTAGTATAGGGTTTAGGGTTTAGGGTGTAGGGTTTAGGGGTTTAGGGTTTAGAGGGTTGCAGTTACTGGCGGTTAAGGGTTTGAGGTCAATTTAGTGTTTCGCTTTTAGGGTTTTTGAAAGTGCCTCTCATGATGACCCCCCACTACCCTACTACTATTCTCTTTGTACCCCTGAGGTTCCTAAGGGCCCCCAACATCATGGGTCCCCTCTTCTGCCCCCACCCCTCCCATACTCCCACTGAACTAAAGATATTGAGGGATGAAGGCCTGATCATGTTAATTTTGGGGGGAATCTAGGGGTGGTTGTATAGGGGGGGGAGGTAGCAGTTGGACCCATAGCTCTTAATACCCCTCATCCCTGGTAGTTTGGGGTGTTACAGTCCACGATCCACAACCACATCTAAGTGCGGTTTAGGTCTTAGGGTTTAGGTTTCACGGCTTAGGGTTTAGGGATCAGGAACAGCTCCATGTGGGTCATGTGGGTAGTTGCCAGGTGGGTACCCCCATGTATGGTTCATATAAGGGTAATGGGGCCATTTTGCTCCTGTGAGGGTACCCACCTGACAGCTATTTACCTGGAACTCTCCTAGGTCCAAGCATGAGCTTCAACTTGGCTAGAGATTAGGGTTTAGGGCTCAGGGTTTAGGCCCACTTCCAATCTGTTGACCTTTTGGACTTGAATAGCAATGCACGATTTCTAGAAAAGCTCGCAGGACCCTTCACCCTGTACGAGTACCCCCAGAACCCTGTGCTTCTGTCCCAGAATTTTCATTCGTCTTTCTGGTAGCGCTAAGTGTTAGGTGTCGTGCTATGAAACTGTGCCCGGTTGTCTCCTCTCTTTGGGTCTGCTACTTTCTATGAAAACCTTTTCACTGGGTGCAAACAACCAAAACCACTACTGGCATGATTCCTATAGCCCCCATCGAACCCGAGATTGCTTTTTATGTCCACTCTGCTTGTCAAACTGATTCTCAGTTGTCGCTAAACCGTAAACCCTCAACCTCAACCCTTACACCAAAAACGTTAAACAAGCTGGGAAGGACGGATGCGAGCTCCGACTTGTCAAGGGTCCAAAGGTCTGAGGGTGGGTTGGGACTTCCTTTTGCATGCTTTCGGGATTGGGGTTGAGTGTTTAGGGTTCACAATGCAGGGTTTAGGTTTAGGGGTTGGGGTGTGGGGTTTAGGGTGCGCCTAAGCCCTAAACCCTGGGTCTAGGGATGTGAGTGTAGAAGTTAGGGTTGGGTGTAGGATTCTGAGGGGAAAGGGCTCAGGATTTAGGGTTTGGGGCCTTTGTTTTGGGCTTTGTAATCCCCTCCCCCTTAATACTAAACCCCCATCCCTGTGGTACCAAATATTCCCCATATATGATACGATGTCACAATCGGAGTATTGAACATCAGAAGGGGTGGGGGGTTCAGTGTTAGTGAGAGGATTAGTGCTCGGGGCTAGGTCTCAGGCTCTTCGACAGGCGATCGTCAAACTTGCGCTTCTGTTTTTAGGGGGTTCAGGGCTTACTATGGTAGGGTTTGGGTTTTAGGGTTTAGGGAGGGGTCTCCTTTCGTTCTTTGAGGTACAGGGCTGAGGGATCTGACTTGTCAAATCAGCATCCTTGTCTCGAGGCATGAAGCGCAAGTGTAACATTTTAGGAGGACCCCCCGCCCTGTAATAGTGGTATAAAAAGAATATAATAGGACCCTAATATATTCCCTATTATCCCTTATAGTCACTATTACTGGGTGGGGGGTCCACCAAAGTAATATCGTTGATCTTACCCGAAGAACACGTCCCGCACCCCCCCCCCCAACAATGAACATTGCACCCAATATATATGACGGCACGTTATGGTGGTTATTTTGTGCCATTGCGCTAACCCTGGTCTGTGTGGGGTTGCTTACAAGGGCCGGATAGTTTTTCCAGCATAGGGTTCGCAAAAAGGAAAGGACTGTCTAGCCCTTTCTCATGGTGCTACTGTGGGTACTGAAGGATTCTACGTGACCGAGTGCCTCGCACCTTGGGAAGTCCGGCATGACAGCATACGAAGGTCATGCGGGGTTCTTATTCTCGTAGATTTTCTACAAGCGGGCAAAGTGTAGAAGACATAGATCACAAGTATTCTTCACAAAGCAGCGGGTTCTGGTATGATAGAGTTCTCATTTCTGAGTGACACGACCAAATTTCGTCTTTGCCTTTTGGCATGTGCTGTGTCTCAAGACTCCGCCACGGGATGGCGCTTTTACTATCACTGGCAGCAGCCGGTTGTGATCCGCAATATGCAGGAAGTAATGGCGATTGTTCATGGGTCTTCCTCAAAACTCACATCTCTTCAGTTCCCCAAAGTAGTAAGACCTGATAGAGGGTGCAGAAACAACACCGAAAAGCATCCAGCTTGCACTGAATTGTGGCGAAAGCGCCGCGGTCCATGAAACGGTTGAGGATAGTTAGCCAGCGTTGACTAAGTAGCTTGTTGGCTTCACCAATCGCCTGCAATTCCAGTGACCCTCTACACTCCTTTTAGACCCCAAACCTGTTTAGTTGTACAATTCCAGTTGCTTAGCCCTGTATGCTCCCCCAGTGTACTCCCCCGGCAGCCGGCCTTAAGATTCAGCCCCAAACCCCCCAAGACCTTTTCCAACCTCATGGGATCAGGGTTGAGGGTTCTAGCGTTTAGGGTTTGGGTTGAGGATTCTATGCGAACGATTTGTGCGTTAAGTTAAGCAGGTACATGCTCCTGTTCGCTGCCCTAGGGGTCTGCACCTGGGCCGCAGTTCATCATGCTGGTCCTCAAATGGCATGGGTAAAGAATATTCCCAAAGGACAACCCTAAACCCTAAAACTTCAAAGGTGTTTTTTGGATTTTTCTAGGGATGCAGGCTGAACATGGCCATCACTTGTGGGTATGGCTTTAGGGTTTAGGGTTTAGGGGGTTTACCAAGGGACCATTAAGGCTGGACATAGGGGCCGGTTTGGTAGTCTAGTGTAGTCCCCTATATATTCCTCAATAAGGACCCATGTCCGTTAATTACATGGGAAATTTTTAATCCCTGTAATCCCCTATATAATCACAGTCTCCGTTTCATTTAAAATCCTCTTTCCCATTTGCTTCTCCATTATTGGTGTATATATCCCTACATAACGCTATATCGCCCCATATAACCCTAGGACTTCGTAGGGATCAGTTGGTGTGCTTACTCCCTCACTCAAACTGTTGCGCCAGTTGGTGATGGAGGGTAGACCCATGGAGCCCTAAAAAGAGATTCCTGTAGAAACCCAGGAAGCTACCATTCCCTTATCTCCCTCACATTGCTGCTGTGTAGGTTTAGGGCTCAGGGTTTAGGGTTTAGTATTCTAGGTATTTAGGGCCCTCCTAAACCCCGAACCATAAACCCTAAACCCTAAACCCTAACCCCAAACCCCAAACCCTAAACCCTAAACCCTAAACCCTAAGCCCTATAAACCTAAACTTAAAATTTCTGAGCGCTGCTGGGCATCTTT